TGCACCTGACAAAAAGCACAGAGAGGGAGGACAAAGCATGATGGAAGAGTGGGAGGCTCTAAACGCCACTCGTCAGCCCATGAGTAAGGCATTATCACAAATGAGTACTGCCAAGGTGCAGAGAGAGGGGATTTTTTGCCGCTTGTATGTGTGTGTGTGTGTTGACAACTCATGGTCACATAAAAGTCAATATACAAAAGCCTTCTCTTGCACCGGCCGTATCTGTGTGGGAACATTAGCAGACCGTGTACACGAAACTATTTCTATTGATCACTGCTCTCTGAATTTCAGCCAAACAGTAAGGTTATGTAAACTCCCACACACACTGATAAAACCCAACCCACATTTCTTTATTTGGTTTTAATGGATAACCTTTCCGTAAGAAACCTTAGATCAGATAAAAATAAGGAAATAAAGTTGTGAAAAAAACAACTGTGGCCATTGAACACCTATAGCGTCGAAGTCATTTGCATTCACAGTCACAGAATTGAATTGATGCATTACATGTGGATAGTACTTGACCATGCTTAATCCTAAAGGTCCAGGGAAATTAAAATAACTTTTTTTTTAGATGTTAGTATCAGTATGTAAGACCTAAATAATATCTATAAGCTAGTGTGGTACAAAACAATAACACAATTTAGGTTTAAAAAAAATACTCAACTGATATAAATCTGTAAAGCTTCACCCAAAACTGAAAATGAACTCAACATTTACTCACTCATAAAGGAATGACCAAAATTGCTCATTTTACAACTCACCTATAAACAGTTGAGTTTTCCCAGTTTTGAATCCATTCAGACGAACTCTGGGTCTGAGCACTTTTAGCTTAGCTTAGCTTAGCTTAGCATAGATAGTTGAATCAAATTAGACCATGCGCATCTTTTTTGATCGTTTTTTCCTATTTAAAGCTGTAGTTACAGTACATTGTGTACTATAATAATTAGTGAAAGGTTGCAATATTCTATTGGTCATGATAGCTAGGAACAGTAAAAGTATAGTTCCTAGCTATCATGTATAGCCTTTTTAAGAACTTGAATCCGAACTCTACTGCAACTCACTCAAAATACTATAGAACTGGAGTGCCCAAACTCAGCTCTGGAGGGCCGGTGTCTTACATATATTAGTTCCAGACCCAATTAAATGTACCCGAACCAGCTAATCAAGCTCTTTCTAGGTATACTAAAAACTTCCAGGCAGGTGTTGAAGTAAGTTGGAGCTAAACTATGTAGGACAACAGCCCTCCAGAGCTGAGTTTAGACAACCCTGCTATAGAAGAAGAACTGCATGAATATACAGTTGAAGTCAGAAATATTAGCCCCCCTGAATTATTAGGCCTCTGTTTATTTTTTCTCCCAATTTCTGTTTACGGAGAGATTTTTTTAACACATTTCTAAACATAATAGTTTTAATAACTCATCTCTTATAACTGATTTATTTTATCCTTGCCATGATGACAGTAAATAATATTTTACTAGATTATTTTTAAGACACTTCGATACAGCTAAAAGTAACATTAAAAGGCTTAACTAATTGGGTTAAATAGGCCGGTTAGAGTAATTAAGTTATTGTATAACAATGTTTTTTTCTGTAGACAATTGAAAAAAAAAATACAGGTTAAAGGTGCTTTTATTCTAGCCGAAAGACTTTCTCCAGAAGAAAAAAATATTATCACACATACTGTGAAAATATCCTTGATGTGTTAAACAATATTTGGCAAATATTTAAAAAAAGAAAAAAAAAATCAAAGGGGGCTAATAATTATGACTTCAACCGTATATATTTGAAAAGTTCTAAGTACACAAATTATCAAGCTCAAAATCATGATTCATTCATTAAAATATTAAGTGTTATTAATGTATATGTTTTTAAAATGTAAAGTTTGGAACTGCATGCAAGTACAGCTTGTGTTCGTGTTTTAGTCTTGTTGCTGTGCTAAATGAAAAACTCTGACTCCACCTAGTGGTGGTCTAACATCATGACTAAAACTTTTTCTTTTCTTTTTTTTTTTTTAACAATTCGTCGCCTTGTAATTATAAGGTTCTATCTGCGTTTTGAATGAGTTTGAGATATTGAGCTTCAAAAATTTTGTATTCCATATAGCAAACAATATGCATGTAACAGTGCTCTTTCATAAATTAATATGACAGAGACCATAAATGTACTCAAATGCAGAAAACCTTCTCATTCTAAAAAGTCATTTTCTGTTTGGAATTACAAGGTTCTATCTGGGAGATCATTAATTGAAGCATTAATTATAAAGACATACAATCAGTCTGCTTATTAATTTAATTTAAAAAACAAAACGGTGTTGTAACAAAATGTTGATGTCAAGTCAAATTCTTTCTATAATTTTTAATGTTTTAGGATGAATGTTTTTTCTTGTTCAAATTAAGCATACATGGCTGTGCTAAATATTTTACTAACTATATATATATATATATATATATATATATATATATATATATATATATATATATATATATATATATATATATATATATATAAATATATAAATATATAAATAAATAAATATATATATATATTAGATGTCAATTTTATGTAATTAATATTGGAATATTTATTGAATTTGAACAATGGAATTGTCTTTAGTGAGGTATGTCCCATGAATTAAACAAGTATGTGCCCTTCAAGGCTTAATATAAAATTTAAAGTCTTTAAAAGAATACAGACAATGAGCAAATGAGTTGTTTAACACTGAGAGATGTTTCACTGACTATATATACAGGAATAGAAAATATTTCACATTTAATATATTACATTTTTCAAACAATGTAAAAAATGTTACATTTTCAACAATGTAAAATTGAATATTTCATCTCAATATCAAAATAACAATGGCTCTATATAATCACATTTACACAAATCTTTTCAGGTTTCTTCTCAATGTTGTGCTGTGCAGCATTATTTTAGTCCTCGTGCATGCATTTGAAATGCTGATTGGCTGACCGAAAGAACCTTATACAGCGAAACTAGAGTTCCACTTTGTAGATAAAACCTTTTTTGTTTTTTAAATAAAAAGTCTTAAAATGTAAACAGCTTATTAAAAAAACATCCCATAATGCAAATAAGTTGTAATTTAATAAGAATATGTCAATAACTCAATTTTGACAAAAATGTCAGATAGAACCTTGTAATCCTAAGGTGACGAAATGTAGAACATAAGTAGTTTAATGTGAAAAAAAATTCATAATACACTTTATATATTTTATGTTTAAAATTGTTTAGAATTATTATTATTATTTTTATATATATATATATATATATATATATATATATATATATATATATATATATATTTATTTTTTTTTTTTGATTTTCTAACAAATAAAAAAGGCAATGATTGTGAAATTATAGATCCGGGGTACCCAAATTTTTTCTTACGAAGGGCCAAAAACCAAACTTGATTGAGGGCTGTGGGCTGAAGGTAAATATACCAAACAAAAGGTTACGTTAACAACCTTCTCAAATGGGATGGCGGGCCAAATCAAAAGTTTTATGGGCCAACTTTGGCCTGTGGGCCCTGGTTTGGGCATCTTTATTATAGATAGCTAATTTCTGTTTTTAATAATTTTTATTGCATTTATTATTCATTATGGGCGAAGCAGTGGCGCAGTTGGTAGTGCTGTTGCCTCACAGCAAGAAGGTCGCTGGGTTGCTGGTTCGATCCTCGGCTCAGTTGGCGTTTCTGTGTGGAGTTTGCATGTTCTCCCTGCGTTCGCGTGGGTTTCCTCCGGGTGCTCCGGTTTCCCCCACAGTCTAAAGACATGCGGTACAGGTGAATTTGGTAGGCTAAATTGTCCGTAGTGTATGAGTGTGTGTGAATGAGTGTGTGGATGTTTCCCAGGGATGGGTTGCGGCTGGAAGGGCATAACGTGCAAAACATGGGCAAAAACGTGCTGGATAAGTTGGCGGTTCATTCCAATGTGGCGATCCTAGATTAATAAAGGGACTAAGCCGACAAGAAAATGAATGAATGAATGAACAATATTCATTATATATTTTTAAATAAATGACAATGTATTTATTTGCTGAATTACTGAATTTCAAAATACCCTTTACCACACAGAAATGTTATGTTTATTTTTCATTCAAAGAATTTTAAGAGTAATATTTAAATATATTCACCAAGAGAAAAATCAAAAACAAAGTAAGAAACTTTTATTTCAGTAGTTTGTAATATAATAAAAAATATGAATAGATATGATAACTGTAGTATGAATATTCTGGACTTCTAGACTTTTGTCTACTTACATCCTGATCAAAAATGAGCTCTATTACCTATACATTCAGGTCTCCTGCACATCAAAAAAAAAAAAAAAAAAAAAATGAAAAAAAAAAAAAAAAACAAAGAAGAAGAAGAAGAAAAAAAAGAAAAATAGAGCTTATTCAAAGGCAAGAACATTAAGATTTCTTAAGCTTATCACAGTATCTTAGGACATTTTTTGAATTGTCATTCTGTAATGCAGTTCATCAAGATAACCAGTTCATGATAACCTTGTACTGATATACTGATATATAGTAAATGCACACACACACACGCTCAACCACTCACTCAATAACAAGCAAAATAATCTCAGTAAATCTTTCATTCTCAAAATTTTACACTGCCATATAAAGATTACAGGTGCAACATGTGACCCTGGACCCCATTTGTGTGTGTGTGTGTGTTTTATTTTACTACAATTTCCATGAAGAAATGTAAAACTTTTTCTTCCATAAATATATAAAAACTTATTTATTTATTTCCTCACTAACAAAAACTGACTCTTATTTTCAGTGTCCAGGATCACATATTTACAAATGCCTTTGACCATAGTGTTGAATCAAGTCCCAAAACACAATTGCAGCCAATCAGCAGTAAGGGGCGTGTCTAGAAATTATAGGTGAAATATCAGAACAGATCAAGGTCTTCTTGCGTTATGGATGTGTTTGTTTTGCCGGTTTTTTTTTATTCAGATTTTTGTCGTTTTCTGTTGGTCGTTTTCTGTTGGTGTCCTGTGCAGAAATGCATTCTGGGAATTGGTGGAGATAAGCCGTAAAAACAGTTGTAGTCTATCACTCCCAGTCCTTGCTGTATTTGTTGCTACAGCGGTGCTTGTCCTGCTGTACACACACTAGCAGCCAATCAGCAGTAAGGGGCATGTCTAGAATCTATAGTTGAAATATCACAAACAGGCCAAGGGCGCAGCTAATCAGCAGTAAGGGGCGTGTCTAGAAACTATAGTTGAAATATCATAAACAGGCCAAGGGGGCAGCCTATCAGCAGTAAGGGGCGTGTCTAGAAACTATAGTTGAAATATCATAAACAGGCCAAGGGGGCAGCCTATCAGCAGTAAGGGGCGTGTCTAGAATCTATAGTTGAAATATCATAAACAGGCCAAGGGGGCAGCCTATCAGCAGTAAGGGGCGTGTCTGGAAACTATAGTTGAAATATCAAAAAACGCCAAGGGCGCTGCCAATCAGCAGCAAGGGGCGTGTCTAGAAACTATAATTGAAATATATAAAAAGGCCAAGGAAAAAATCAGAAGTAAGGGGCGTGCCAAGGGCCTTCACCTTTGTGTCCTGTACAGAAATGCATTCTGGGAATTGATGGAAATCTAAAAGATGTTAGGCAGTAAGCGGTAGGAAACTGCCGCAGTGTAGCGCTCCCAGTCCTTGCCGTATTTGTTGCTACAGCGGTGCTCGTCCCGAATGCAGCGGTGCACCAGCAGGATGGTCATGTAGACGATGTAGAAATACGGCAGTAGGTGGTTGCCTCCACAGGCCAAACAGTACGCCAGCGAGCCCATCAAGTCGCCCGTGTAGTTCATGTGACGCGCCACCCCCCAAAACCCAGAGGTCATGAGTTTGCTCTTGTGAATGGCGCCGTCGGCCGATCGGTAGGAGCACTCGATGAAGGTGGGCTTCTTACCCCAGATGCTGCAGTTGCCCTCAGTGCGACGGAAAAGGTCTTTCTGGTGGTTGGTCACGCGGAAGATGTAGTAGCCCACCAGACCCAGGATGAGGACCCCTGCTGCGTGGGGCGTAGAGAGCTGGATGGGGTTGTAGACCAGGTAAAGTCCCTAAATAAAAAACAAGAATATGAATCAAAACCCACTTTACATAATCCACATTATGGCTGCACAATATATCTTTTCAGCATCGATATTGCAATGTGCGCATCCGCAATAGTCACATCGCAATATATGCAATGTTGAGTCTGAAGAATGAGGTGGTACGGTGGCTCAATGGTTAGCACTGTTGCCCTAACAGCAAGAAGGCTGGTCCGAGTTCTGACTGGGCCAGTTGGTATTTCTGTGTAGATTTTGCATGATTTCCACATGTTCGCGTGTGTTTCACAATCCAAAGACATGCGCATTAGGTGAATTTGTTCATTTTCCTTCAGCTTAGTCCATTTATTCATCAGGGGTCACCACAGCCGAATGAACCGCCAACTTATCCAGCATATGTTTTGCACAGTGGATGCCCTTTTTAGCTGCAACCCAGTGCTAGGAAACAACTATAAACTCTCACATTTACACACATGCACTAAGGCCAATTTGTTTACCCAATTCACCTATAGTGCATGTCTTTGGTCTGTGGGAGAACACAGGGAGAACATGCAAACTTCACACAGAAATGCCAATTGGCCCAGCCGGTACTTGAACCAGCAAACCTTCTTGCTGTGAGGCGACCACTGAGCCACCGAGGTACTTGGCTCGAAATAATAAATCCGCAATTGTAGATTGAACATGAAACACAAACCAGACCCTGCAAAATCTGCTCAGAAGCGTACCTGAAGTGTGTAGAGGAAAGGCAGCCACACACAGTCTCCCCAGCCCAGATACCAGCCAAAATGATCATGGCAGATGTCAATAGTCTTCAGGTACCAGGCTTCATTCCAGAAAAAGTCCACTACATAGACGGCCTTAGAGAAGATAAGTCAAATTTGTAATATGAGAAAATGAAGAAAGAAGACATCCGATGCATTGCTGCAAACAAAACATGTTACTTGTGAAACAAATCTACATTATTTTAACTCTAGAAAGGCTAATGTTACAGTATTGTGTAGGATGTATTGTATTGAAACACTCTTAATTATCAACATGATTAAAACTTTGCAGAATAACCTGTTGTACACATCTGCTGGAAAAGACTAAATAACATTTAACCCCTACATAATAAATAGAGCTTCATAATCATTCAATTAAGCACTTAAATATCATTCAACTCATATAACCGGGCGATATAAAGGATGGTGCAAAATATTAACATATTTAAAGGCACAGTTCACCCAAACTGAAAATTCTGTCCTCATTTACTCATCCTTTACTTCCTCCAAACCTGTTTGGCTGTCTTTCTTCTGCTAAACACAAAATAATATATTTCAAAGGGAGCTAAAATCCTGTAATGATTGACTTCCATAGTATTTGTTTTTCTTACCATGGAAGTCAGTGACTTTCAGCTTTCCTCTAAATATCTTACACCAGTGGTGCCCAAACTCAGTCCTGGAGAGTTTAGCTCTAACCTTAATCAAACTCAAGTTAATCAAGCTCTTCCTTTGTATGATAGAAACATCTTGGCAGGTGTGTTGAAGCAAGTTGGAGCTAAACTCTGTAGGACACCGGCCCTCCAGGACTGAGTTTTGGCACCCCAGTCTTACACAAGATAAAGAAACTTAAGGTTTGGAATCAGGGTGAGTAAATTTTCACTTTTGGGTGAACTATCTCTTTAATTTAAGTTCAAATTTAAGAAGTGTATCTCTTTTTTTGGCCTATCAACTTAATATAAGCTGTTTTTGAGCCTTTTGCTCTAAGTTTTACATTGCATCTTGGTTTAAACACTTAATGCCAAATACAAAAAAAAGTAGAAATATCTGAAAATTAAAATCAAACCTAGCGGCTCAATGACTCACCTGCAAAACGTTGACCAGGATCATAGAGTTTGTCACGTAACCATACAGCTCCTGCTGCTTAGCTGCATAGGATAAGTTTATGAGGGTCCATGCCACGATACCCGGCCGGCCATTAAAAAAAAGCTTGAAGTCAAACCATTTTCCTATACGAGGATTGAACTCAATTCCCATCATGTAGTTGTAGAACATGTTGCCTGTGAATTTACTGCAGATCAAAAATAAAAATAAAAATAAGAGGATATTTCATTATACTTAAAGGAAAACTCCACTTTTTTTTTTTTTTGAACAAAGCCTCATTTTACAAGTCACCAGGAGGTAAACAATTGAGTTTTACCATTTTTGAATCCTCCAGTTTTAGCTTACCTTAGCATAAATAATTGAATCGGATTAGAGTATTAGCGTCTTGCTCTAAATAATTAAAAATAAGTTAAATTATTAAATAAATTAAATAATGAAATTATATTTTGTACTAAGACCAATGTATTGTAGTTTTTATTTAATGCCATTTCAGCAACCAAGGCTGTTTTCATGGCAAGAACATTTCCATAATAAATGTACACTTAAATATCAACAAACAAATGAATTAAAAATTAAATAAAATTTTTAACGTTAAAACTTGATTAAAATTCAAAAAATAAATTCCTGGTGTCGCTTAGCTAAAAATGTCCTTTAAAGGGCACCTAGGTTACCCCTTTTTTCAGATTTAATATAAGTCTTTTGCGGCTCTAGAATGTGTATATGAAGTTTCAGATCAAAATACCCATCAGATTTTTCATTATACCTTTTACAAGATGCTGTTTTATACTGATTTCCAGCAGGGGGTGGTTTTGTCGTACTGCGCCTTTAAGCCGAGTTCTGCCCGCCTACTGTTTCTACATGCCTCCTCCCTCAGCTGTGTCAGACAACAGACAGACTTAAAGGGCCATGAAACCCCCTTGTTTCAGCAGGGTGTTTTCACACCTCTACTTTTAAAAAAGTCAGAAAAGTGGGCGAGTCCAGCTCTGTTTAGGGGGAGTGTCGGAGGAACTAAAGTGGGAGGGTGTGGGAGAGTCTATTTGGGCACGCGCGAGTTTCAGAGTCAAAATAAACACACAGGAGAAAGTGATGGTGTTAAACCTACATGGACATCTGTAGTCGAATTATTTGCCAAATTATTAAATGTTGGACTTTAACAGCAGTTTGGCTCTTTCATTCAGGGAATTCATTCATGCCCCTCGCGACAAACGAGATATTTGATTCGAGGAACTGCTCTAAGCCTGTATTTTTCATGCAATGTTTGATATCGCACGGCGAATGAGAGAAAAAAAACCTCTGCATTTCCCAGAAACTTAGATGCACACGACAGGTAGCATCAGAAAATGCGGTAAAAACCCCACACGAGGTTAAAGTTTGGTTGTGGTGCTAACATGTTTGCCCTCGGTGCAATAGTTAACTTAGTTCGATACGAACAAACTGAATAAACAAAGAGCACTGGTCGCTCACTTACCAAATCTGTAGAGACAGGACAATCACCAGCAACTAGAACCGCATCTTTATGAAGAGAAGACTACAAGCAAATCCGGATCTCAGCGTTTGCAGATGAGAACAGCTCTCAGGTAAACAATGTTCCTCCTTAGACACGCAAGTTATTGTTGTCGAGCGTCGCGTACACTGTTAATCCTCACGTGACTCCAGATGAGCTCTCACAGGGAGAAAATGAAAACGAAACTTAACGGCTGCAAACAATAAAAGCAACACTTAACGCTTGTTTTGCCAACACAACGTGGCGTCTCTGTCGTGTAAACACGGTGACAGTAATGAATATTAATGAAGTTGCACAATAGAGCGCGCTGATTGGTTTGAACCAAGCCTTACTCATGCATTAATGCATCACACTTTAAGACGTAATAAGACTCACTCTGGCACAGACGCCCAGTCTGCACGCCGGAATACACGCTATTATGTCATGACCGTGATGCAGTTTCAAAAATTCGTTTCAAACCGGAAGTACGAATTTACTTGAAATAACGCAAAAACAACCAATTTACACTTTTTAGTGAAATATAGGTGTCCTAATAGTAATTTTAGCAGTGTGGGACACATATACGACTGTCAACAGCTCAAAAAATGTGTTTTGGCGTTTCGTGACCCTTTAAAGGAAGGTCTCACAAACCGTTTGTGAGATACTACAGTAAGAACTAACCTTTACTAATCAGTATTGTGAAGTTGCATTGATGAGTCACACACAATATCGTTACAAAGTTAACGCGCACACACACACACACACACACACACACACACACACACACACACGCACGCACGCACGCAGGCAGGCAGGCAGGCAGGCAGACAGACAGAGTGCGCTTAGCTTAGTTAAGGCTAACCTCAAGTACTGTGTGGATATCTGTTATGCTAATGTACAAAATAAACCTGATTTAACTTCCACAAACTGGGATTGAAGCATCTTCTTTTATAATTGTTCTGACACGCGGCTGTGCTGATGAAGTAAAGCTGAAGTAAATCGCTGTAATTAATTACACACATACTCTGTTTTAAAACACTTTAAACATGTGAAACTTACTCTTAATCACATTTGATGATGATTGCTGATCCTAGCGAACAGAACAGACCTTTTATTCCCGGTTGCTTTGCGTATGTCTGTCTAGTCTTGTTGACATATACACGTGACTACCGGAACATGTTAATGCGCGCAGCTGTCAATCAATTCGGGGGGCGGGGGGGGGGGGGGGGGGGGGGGTAAACGCACACCTACGTAATGTGCGATCGATTTGAAAACAGCTCCAATTAGCCGACCCTTTTTTTGTAGTTAAATTGAGAAAAAAGGACTGGGTGTGTTCATATCACCCCAGTATGACGGTCTATTCACTATACCAACACACAGATCTGTCCAAACAGCTTGGAAAGTAGATTTTTTACCATAGGTGCCCTTTAAAAAAAGTTTATTTCATAAAAAAGTCTTCTGGAATCATTAAAAGCAGGACAGTCCAGTAAAATGTGTTTTTGTACTAAGACCAAAGAAAAGTGAGGAGTTCCTATTTTGTAGATTAATAAGGCTATGAAATCTACCCTGATTCTGGGATAATAATAAACAAACTTTGCTGCCATCACCATGGCATCAGCAGGCACAATTTCTGAATGAGATGCTAATGGTCTAATCCGATATAATGATTAATGCTAAGCTAAGCTAAAAGTGGACCTGGCAGACACAGAGATCGACTGAAGGGATTCAAAAATGCAACAACTCAATTGTTTAACTCCAGGTACCTTGTAAAATGGGCCTATTTCCAAAAATTTCTCATATTTTCTGTGTATTTTATAATAAATAACATAATTTAAACAAAACAAATTTTTTCTTTTTTGTTCATAAAATATTAAATATTTTTCCAAATGACTGTTAAATCTCATGTGCTGTTAGGGATGTTTTCATCCAGTCTAGGGTAATTTTGAGGCTTGATTTGGCCACAACTTTCTTTGTGTTTCAGCAAATGGAATGATTTTTGGCAACAAATCTTATTTCGACACATTCATTCATTCATTCATTCATTCATTCATTCATTCATTCATTCATTTTCTTTACAGCTTAGTCCCTTTATTAATCCAGGGTCGCCACAGCAGAATGAACCGACAACTTATCCTGCATATGCGTTTATGCAGTGGATAGCCTTCCAGCTGCAACCCATCACTGGGAAACATCCACACACACACTCATTCACACACACGTCTTTGGACTTGTGGGGGAAACTAGAGCACTCAGCGGAAACCCACGCGAACATGTGGAGAACATGCAAACTCCACACAGAAATGCCAACTGACCCAGCCGAGGCTTGAACTAGTGACTTTTTTGCTGTGAGGCGACAGCACTACCTACTGCGCCACTGCGTAACCCCTATTTCGACACATATTTTAGGAAAATGCTTTGAAAATGTTCAAAAATTCAACAGTACACTCTGGGAAAATGTACTACCCTTTCATCATGTTGGTGGCTGTTTTTGTCCCATTGACTTCCTTTATAATCAGACTTTATGATTGCAAAGCCATGACACTATAGAGTCATGCATTCTAAATTTGAACAGAACACTAGGGTTAAAAAAATCATTTATAAAATACTAATTTATAATAAGGTAAAGAGAGGCCTGTGTGGCATGTGCAGTATCTCTCTAAACTTGTAACTAAATTAAACTATGGAGTATGTAGTTCAGAAATAATTTTTCTCACCAGTCCTCTGGGTTGGTGGGGAACAGATACGCTTTAATGAAGGCAAATGTGGACACAGCATAGCCGAGGATGTTGGTGCACCATAACAGAGGGATCCAGTTGTCAATGATGATGGTTGGCGAAAACCAGTGGAAGTGCTGAGCGTTAAGCACCCATAAAACATGAGTGATGAGCCAGCACTGAAGACCGTTGACCTCATATTTATTAATCAGACCTGAGAAAGAGAAACACACCCATAATACCTGAGTGAAATACTTTTTTTGATAACTTTTGCCACACAAAACCAATAGTCAACTGATCTCACAGCAGATAAACAAGTAACAATTTGCTTTCCCAGGGTCCGTTCTTCATACGAATCAAGATGATTCAAGATGATTTGGCAGATCCTGGGTCTTTTCATCTTGATAACTGATCTCTTGCTAATTTGGTTCTTCAAACAAGTTTGAGAATCAGATTAGAATGTCTGAATAAACTGATCTGAGATCGCTTCGTGTGTTGTGAAGGACAGATCTATCAATCCTCGAAATCATGATCAGCAATGCAACGATTGGCTGACGGCACAGCAGCATAATAACATCATCTGATAATATTCAATTATCCATGTGAGCAAAATTACATCAAATTAGCAGGTTTGTTAAATATGACACGCAATAACCTTCCACATTTGTTGTGAGCTGCAGGCTTTACACTTTCATGTGTCGAGAGTATCCATCATGTATTTCAATGCAAATCAATGTATTTAGTTCTACATTTAGAAAAGACTTTCTTTATTATAGTAGCCGTTTTTTTTAATCGGTGTAAAGAATAACTGGTTGTTTACAAAAGCATTTTGATATTGGTAAAGGCGTCTGCAACTTTCGTGAAGCATCATATCACTGGCATATTAACTGTCAAAACATGTTTATGACTGCATAAATATATTATTGCTTTAAAAAAAAAAAAAACTCCTTTGTACTAAAGCGATCTAAAAAGTTCATATCAATAAGTTTTCTCTTTGCACCACCAGGTGGCAATCTATGAACTTTCATTTCGAGGGTGCAGATTGCATAAGTTTATTAATGTGTATAACTTTATTTATTTTATTAATAACTATAACTTTATATATATATATATATATATATATATATATATATATATATATATATATATATATATATATATATATATATATATATATATATATATATATATAGTTTTAAAATATTTACCATTTTCCCAAGTGTACATAACTACTACTGTAAGAAAATATCAGAATTCGGAACATACTTTATTGTCTTTGCTTGAACCGAGCCAATCTAATCCTGTTTATATTAATTAAACCTGCTCCCGATCAGGTTTGACCTAGCAGAACTGTTGCTATGACAACAACTCTCGGATCAGCATTGAAGAATGAAACGTCAAATCGTCAATATCCAAATCCAGCTAACTGAGTAATCCACGTATGAAGAACAGACCCCCAGTGTCCGACACAAACACAACATCTTTTGTTTTAGCCTAAGTCTTCATCAAGGTAAGATTTGTTATGTCATCATCACTGTCCTTTGTTTTTGAACAGTTTGCTAATATCAGTTAATATAAAACATACTGTTTAATTCAGTTTACCTGCAGGTGTACGGGCACCATCCTGAACTCCTCCTACGTAGCCTGGAAGGATCTTATGCAGAAAATCTGGAACACACATGTACAGCACCACCTAGAGCCGACACAACCAAATCATACATTTCAGGTCCATAACCATTCCATTTTTTACAAAATAATACTTTTTTTTATCCATAGTAATTGTGCAAACCTGAAATGTGACCCAGATGGCGTAGATTTTGGCAGCAGCCCATGTGAAGGAAGGAGCCCGGTTCCAGATGGTGAACAGGGTGGCGTCACCGTTGTAGAGATCCAGTAGAGGGTGACTTATGGAGCACTGGTACTGATCACATGCCATGATGAAGAAAAAGACGAGGAAGGGGGCAAAGCAGAGCAGCAGGATCACACCCGAAAGAGAGAACCAATCCACCTCCCTACACACATCAACACAATAGATGTGTAATATTGTTATTCAGTCATTCTCAAATATTTTTTAAAAATGTATGGTTTATTATTGTGATATGACTATTGTAGGATTGCAGATGGTCACTTTGCAATATCGATGCTGAAATTATATATTGTGCAGCCCTACTGTGGAGTGACTTACCATGCTCTTCCCCACTGCGCCGGCTCCTTTGATGGCTCCTTCTCCACTGTCTGGGCACCATTGGCACTGCCCTTATGCCGCTTTCTCACCCTGTCAGATGCCATCATGATTGTCTGAAAGAGTGAGGTTTAGAGATTTAGGAAGAGCATAAGCTATAACCTGTCTTTGGCATACAGAAGTCAAAATTTTTTCCATATGGTGTTTAATGGAGCAAGGAATTTTTCACAGTATTTGCGATAATAACTTTTGTTCTGGAGAAAGTCTTATTGGCTTTATTTTGACTAGGATAAAAGCAGTTTTTAATATATTTAAAACCATTTTAAGATCAATATTATTAGTTTTCATAAGCAATATTGTTTTCAATTGTTCATTCATTCATTCATAAATTTTCTTTTCGGCTTAGTTCTTTTTTTAATTTGGGGTCGCCACAGCGGAATGAACCACCAACTTATTTAGCATATGTTTTACGCAGCTTATGCTCTTCCAGCTGCAACCAGTCTCTGGGAAACATCCATACACACTCACTCACTACGGACAATTTAGCCTACCCGCTTCACCTGTATTGCATGTCTTTGTACCGTGAGAAACCGGAGCACCCGGAGAACGCAAACGCGGGGAGAACATGCAAACTCCACACAGAAACGCCAACTGACCCAGTCAAGGCTCGAAACAGCGACCTTCTAGCTGTGAGGCGACAGCACTACTGCGCCAATGCCTCTCCCATTTTTCAATTTCTACAGAACAAACCATTGTTAAACAATCTTCTTCTTCTGCCTTAAGGCTGATTTATACTTCTGCGTCAAACGCCGGCGTATGCTACGGCGCTGACGCATAGCCCTTCGCCGTGGCCGTCGGCGTTGCTGACGTGCACCTCTCAAAAAATGTAACTACAAGTCGCAACAACGCGTAGCGCAAGCTCTGTGATTGGTCGGCTTGGTAACTCTGACGAGTCTGGGCGGGACCGAGAGCTGCGCGAATGGCGCGAGCGATTGTTTACAAGTGTGGAGTCCCGTGAAGGAGCTCCGGATGGAAAGTTTTGTTTTGTGTTTACCTCATAGTTAAAGTTGTTGCACGTCCGCCGGTTCCTGTCTCAAAATGAGCGAGTTTGAGTCACTTGTACAACCAGGAAGTGTTCAGGAAAAGCAAAACAAGCGAAAAAAACTCGACACAGAGGAACATTTACACCACACTGCCAACTAGCGTTTAGGAAGTGTTAATGCAGACCAACAGAGACAGCGCGCAGAAGTATAAATGCACAGCTGCGCGCATTGCCTGCGCCATGAGTTACGCCGTTCACTTGACGCAGAAGTATAAACCAGGCTTTAGTCCCGTATGGTTGCAGGGTCGGCTCTTTGGAACAAGCCATTTTAGACTTGTCCATATGATAACGACTTTTTTTTTTACACATTCCGGCCGGCCTGTTGTCTGGGCCTGTCACCCTCATACACTCATACACTACAGACAATTTAGCCTACCCAATTCACCTGTAGCATGTCTTTGGACTGTGGGGGGAAACCGGAACACCCGGAGGAAACCCACGCGAGCGCAGGAAGAACATGCAAACTCCTCACAGAAATGCCAACTGATCTAAGGTTCGAACCAGCGACCAAGCAACCTTCTTGCTGTGAGGCGACAGCACTACTGCGCCACTGCTTCGCCCAAACCATTGTTATACAATGACATGCCTAATTACCCTAACCTGTCTAGTTAACCTAGTTAAGTCTCTAAATTGCAGTTTAAGCTATATACTAGTATCTAGTAAAATCTTGGCAAAAAAATCCGTTATTAGAAATTAGTTAATAAAACTATCATGTTTAGAAATGTGTTGAAAAAAAATCTTGTTTCATTAAACAGAAATTGGGGAAAAATATATTATAATTCAGGAGGACTTCAACTTGTATGTGTATGGTAGGAGAACAAAGTGCACCGTAGATAACAGATAACACACATATGATAGGAACCGTAGGGTATATGTGCTAAATATGATAACTCATGACATTTGCAGGGCTGATAGTGGAAAAAATTCCTGAGCCTGAACTTTTTTTTCCTTGCCCCTGAGGTGAGTAGTGGTGGGGGTACTATGTATGCAACGCACTTTTAACACATAACTTGTGGGCCCCTGGGCCCAAATATATTAACAGCCTATGTGTAACCCTGATCATCATTATTGTCAAGTGGCTCTTTTTAGACACATGCCAGTAATGTCAGTGACACATGCCAGAGTCAGTGATCTTGTGACATGTGCCAGTAGGTGTCAGTATAAGCACGTTATAAGCACATTAATCTTATAAGTCTCTTTGCTTTAATATTTAAAAATCATTAGGCAAATGACACCTGTTATCTTACATGCATATATGTTATGAGTTTTCAACATGCATTTTATTATAACTTTTTAAAGGATATTATTTAAAATACCTTAAAATGAAAGTAAGTTAAATAATAAAATAAATGAATGAATTAAAAACATAGAGAAGTCCATATTGTAGGGAACAAAGGAACTGCCAGGATGCAATAATATACAGTACAACAGATAAGTGTAACCCCTCCCATACATAAGCATGCCACAATAAATTTGACTGACATGTACTGTCAAATGACTATATTACGTACGGAAGTATGACTACGAATACATAAAATAAATGCGTTTAAATTAAAACATCTTGGAGTAGCTCAGCAAATAAACTAACTTGCGACGCGATAAATTAGGTTAAAAGTCGCGTAATGATTAAATATGGTTTTGCTCGTGTTAATTAATGTCATAAACTTCGCCGGGTGTCGATGTCACTGCAGTGACATGCAGCGCGACACTCTGAGTGACACAGGTCACTACACATGCCAGCGAGTGACACATGACAGTGGAAAACTGCACGTGCCACCGGAAGTGTCTCTACACTCAGTGGCATGTGCCAGTGTCATCTGTACGTCAGATGTCGTGTCACTCCATGTTAAAACTGCTACTGTGAATCCGCGTTCAAGCGCACACAATAAGCTAAAACTCGCCCCAAGCACCGGCAAAAACAAATAACAATGAATGTGTAGAGGAAAGAGTAAGGACATATCTTAATTATTTATTTGAATATGCTGGGAAAGTTCATACACTCTCAGAAATAAAGGTAGAAGAGCTGTCACTGTGGCAGTACCTTTTTAAAAGGTACATATTTGTACCCAAAGAGTCCTTAGTGGTAGCTCAAAGCTATATATCAGTATCTAAATGTACCTTTGAGGTACCAATATGGACTCTTCAGGAACAAATATGTACCTTTTGAAAAGGTACTGCCCCAGTGACAGCTCTTCTACCTTTATTTCTGAGAGTGTAGGACAGTCTATGGTTTAGCAAAATGACTTATTATAGGATAAAGTCTTATATAATTTCAGTGTCAGTACGGACAAGGTTGTTTTCTTTAGTGCGCTGATGTATAATGTTATCTCCTAGGCTGATATGAGGTTGTCAGTTGTTTGCTTATGTTATGCAAGCACTGGATAGTTGCTCTGCACAGCAAACATGTCTTTTATTAAAAGCATATTTTATGGCTTACACTTGTACCACACCAAGAGATCTGTTCCACTTGGACTGTAAAAAATGCAGGGGTCCACACAACTCATTCAGGTTGTCCTAACACAAATCCATTAAGTGAGCTTAACAAATTGAAGCAAGTTAAACATAAATATTAAGTTGTCCCCAAAAAAATCTCTACAATTGTGTTGTTTCAGCACATTTTAAATAAGTAGTTTGAGCAAGTAGCAAAAATATTTTATTCAGTGTATTTGATTATGTTTTAAACATGTAATAGCAAAAGAATGGATGATTTACTAACTAAAAACTGTATTAGAGAATGATAACACATCTTTTAAACTGTCATAATCTACACAAACAAACAGAAAAATGACCAAAAACACTTTGCAATGCCATCTATTTTACTACACCCAAAACAAAAATGCTTGTTCAAACTACCTGTTTATAATGAGTCAGTCAGACAGTTGCAGCTCATCCAGAACGCTGCAGCCAGAATTCTAACCAGAACCAGAAAATCAGAGCACATCACACCTGTCCTCAGGTCTCTACACTGGCTGCCAGTTACATTCAGAATAGATTTTAAAGTATTATTACTGGTCTATAAATCACTAAATGGCCTAGGACCTAAATACATCACAGATATGCTCACTGAATACAAACCTAACAGATCACTCAGATCATTAGGATCATATAAACTAGAAGTTCCAAGAGTTCAGTCAAAGCAGGGTGAATCGGCTTTTAGCCACTATGCCCCTCGCTTCTGGAATCAGCTTCCAGAAATGATCAGATGTGCTCCAACATTAGGCACATTCAAATCAAGACTGAAAACACATCTGTTTAGCTGTGCCTTTACTGAATGAGCACTGTGCTGCGTCCGACAGATTGCACTATCATGTTTTTCTCTTCTTCTTCATTCTTTTATATCACATTTTACCTGTTTTTGTTTTGTTTTGTTTTTACGCATTTTAATTATTTGTTTTTATTTTTATTTTACTTGTTTCTTTTATTCTTGTTTATGTAAAGCACTTTGAATTGCCATTGTGTATGAAATGTGCTACATAAATAAACTTGCCTTGCCTTGCCTAATGAGCTGAAACAACACAATTCTTTTAATTTCTTCAGCCAATTTCTGTTTCATGTTCAGTCCTCTTAAATTTGTAAACCATTAAACTGACTTAAGTGAATTCTGTTGGTCGAACTAGGTTAGGGGATTTGTAGTTCCCAGCCTGCTTTGTGTGGGATTGAATAAGGAGAGGGAAATGTTGACAATAACCAGTGGCGTAGCGCAAAATGCGGAGGCCCCCCTGCAGGGATCACCGACGGGGCCCCCAGTTGAGGGGGGGCAGAGCCAGAGATATACACATATACACATATATCTATGATCGGGAGTTTTCCTGGATGTTAGTATGCAATTTTTTTTTAATTACAAAAATTATAATTTTACATCACTTTTCTACATTGATGGATCAGTGACCGCACGGGCATTTCTGACAAAAAGCTTGTGTTTGTGTGTACAGAAATGTACTATTCACCCTCCTTGTTAAATTTGATCAAATTCGTGTCCTGAAACACAGCTCCCCTCCTGCTTTCACTGCTCAT